GTCCTACATAGCGCTATTTGTTTGTTTTGCGTCTAAAGCGGTTCATCTAGAAATTTTGTCAGACTTAACCACTAACTCCTTCTTATTGGCTTTCCAAAGGTTCGTTGGGCGCCGAGGATGCCCTCGCACAGTCCACTGCAACAACGCGACGAACTTCGTCGCAGCCAGTCGCCACTTCCAGGGCCTTCGGGAGCACATCGAGAAGGAGGCAGATGCCGTATGCGAATTCGCATCAAGAATTGGATGCGAGTTTGCGTTCACATCGCCTCGAGCTGCGCACATGGGCGGGCTTTGGGAGGCAGGTGTAAAGACTGCCAAGAACCTACTCCTACGAGCGGTGGGCAGCGCGTTCCTAACCGCAGAGGAACTGGCGACGGTGCGCGTCGGCGCGTTAAGCAACGACCCCAGCGACGGAGAAGCGTTAACGCCCGGGCACCTGCTGACAGGCAGGACGTTGTTCCTAATTCCACCACTCCGGACCCCAGACCAGACGGGTCACAGTTGCTTGCAGCGATGGCAACTTGTTTCGTCAGCCAGGAAAATGTTTTGGTGGCGATGGTCCCAGGAATATGTGCTGGGCCTGCAAATTCGGGGCAAGTGGCATCTGGAGCAGCCCAACATACAGAACGGACAGCTCGTCATCCGCGCCGAGGATAACCTGCCGCCTTAACAATGGCTGAATGGGAAGATCATCGCCAGGCACGCAGGAGAGGACGGAAGGGTCAGGGTCGTCGACGTGAGGACCAGCGGAGGAGGAATTTTTAAGCGGGCCATTCACAAATTGGCGCCGCTTCTAATCTGTTGAAGCCGGAAAGTAAGTTTCTCGGTTAATAATATTTAGAAAAACTATTCTAAATTTTCACGTAGTAATTCGTCGATTTTGTCGAAAAGCTTTAACTCAACTTTTAAGAAGTGGATCGTTCTCTCGTCGTGGCGTCCGTCGGATGCCTGTGGTCGGAATGAGTCCTCCGATTCGATGGCCGTGAGGGCAGTGGCTCCGGAATGGATTTCGCTCCCGTGCGATGGTAGCATCTACGCGGGCTGGCAACTGGTATCTGTCGATTTTCTGGCAGGGCTCTGGTGTTACTGACGAGATATCAAAATCTTTGCTTTGCTGCCCCTATTGTTGTCAACCTTTTGCCTCCGCCTGGGGGGCGTCTGCGAGAAGGGTCCTTGGTCTTAGTGCTGGTGGTATTCGCTTGCGGCTGTAGGTCGTCTGCGTTTCCTGCCCCTGGGATAGCGGTTCCTTGGGTTCCGGTGGTGTGTCCCCCTGCGTGGTCCAGCCACATGTCCAGTGGGACATGTGTCCTCGGAGCAGGTATGGGTTTCCGTGCTTTCCCGTGGTATCCGTAGATCTTCTTATACGCCCGTAAAATGTACAGTTGCAGTGGTGGGTGTCGCCCCTGCTGCTGGCCCCGGTTCCGCTCTTCGTGCGGTAACGAGAGCAAATTGCAGGCAGACTTGTCCTTTTGAGTTCCGTCAGCCAGGGCTCCCCCTTTCAAAATTCCAATGTGGGGTTGGGATCAGGGCCGCTTGCCGAGCGGAATACCGATCCCGGGTGATCTTGGCCAATTGGGTAAGTCTCTCCAAAGAGGAGAACTCGTGTCGTCGCATAAACAGTTGGTTTTTCGACAGTAGGTTCTCGTAGATCCTTTCCAGTTCCTGTTCGATCAAATAGCCCGCACTTTGCGTCATCAGACGCAGCTCTACTATGTAATCTGAAAAGGCTCTCCGGCTCGCTGGTGCCTTGTCCCAATGGTGTCTTCCAGCCTCTGGTAGTACAGCGGTGTTAGGAAAAATTCCAAGAACTCCCTCCTGAATCTGGTAGGCTCGGTACCAACCCTCGGAGCGGCCTGAGAGCAGAATTGCAATGGCTCGTGGTAGTTCACTGATTCCTATGTGGTAAGATGCGGCTCCTTCCTCGACGCCCCATCCCCAAAGTTTCTCAGCAAACGCGGCGGCTGAAATTGGACTGCGTGGAGGGAGAGGTGCCTGAGTTGGCACTTGTGTCCCACGTCCTGGGCTAGACGGATTTCTTCTTGGATGCCGGACATCCCCTGCTCCTGGCATCGGTGATGTGGGCCGACTGGTCGCCGTCTTCGGGGTCGGTGCCTCCAGCGCGACAAAGCGCTCTCGGAGAACCGGCCATGGGTCGCTCCTCCAATAAACGATGCTAGCTGGGGCCGCAGTTTGTCTAATTGACCGTTCGGGTCAAGTTCGAACTCCTTTAGCAGGGCTTGTAGCTCGTATTTCTGGCGAATCGCTAATTATTCGAGAGCACCCCTGTGTATGAGCAGCCGTTGAATTTATGTTGACTAATACTGGAGAACTCTACAGCCCTTGCGCAAATGTTTACTCTTGGGGTTTTGAACTTATCCTATTTAATTAATTTGCCTTCATGGCTTTAATATTAAAAATAACAATACAGGTAGATGATGAAAAAGCAAAGATCAAATGTGAAATCTGGGGGTGGGTTTATTCCATGCTCACCAAACTTCAGAATATTCCCTCGTAGAAGCCCTCCTCCTTATTTCCGAAGATCTCGGACAGCTAGTTGTAACGAACTGTTTTTTTTTTATCTTTCGCTCGCTACCTAAAACGTGCGGCAAGCTCAGCAGAATTTGTGTGTTCGTCCCATAAAATTTATTAATGCGTGATTTCCGAGCCCAAAAAATTATTCAGATTGTAATTCGGCTTGGCAAAAGGGTTTGGTCGGCGTTTGGTCTGGATAACTTCGGCCCAGCACCTAGCAGATCCGCACTTTCATGAGAACCGTCCGATTGCCTTATGCAGAACATCACACCAGAACACCTCCAAATATTTCGTGCATCAAGCACCGTGTACCTTACCCAGCATCTTTCAGATTTTTCTTGACTGTCCTTCTCCAGCCAACTCCCATGATCGGGTCCGAAGTACCTCGAGGAATTTCCCGTTGATTCCTTGTGTGGATCTAAAGTTTGCGAATTTACAGCTCGACAGTTACAGTTAGAGCCCAAGGTCCAGAGCGGCACCGTTATTTCCTGGCTTCTCCGCTCTACCCCAGTCCAAGGTCCGCTTTTCCCGTTCGACCTGGACGGTCGTGGCTTGTATGTTGGATTACAATAAAACCTCCCATCCGAGCTTCCGTAGCTTCTGACGAGTGGCCTGACGATGTTTTGGTGGAACACTACACCCTTCCCGTTGGCCAATTCTGGACGCTTCTGTTCGATCGGTCCAGTTGTTTGCAGTAGATGGTAGAATAATGCGTCTGTCCATATTGGAGCAGTTCATAATGGATGATTAATTAATTAATGAATACCACCAAACACACAGAAACGCACTTCCTGGCCATTAATCCCGGCTTGGCCAGTTCATAATTTATTGAATTATTAAGTCGAAAACGCGGTTCGGAGCATCCTTTACATTTTTCGATACACCTTTCGAAATACAAAGTAAAAATTAGTTTTTCCTGAGACTAAAGTCTTGACACAAAAACCAAATTACCTGTTCAACATATTCGAATTAGGGATTCCCGAATTTAATACAAAGTAGTTTTTTTTAATTTAAACTCCACTTGTCGTTATGCCCATTCTTGGCACAAAAGGTGTTGTTGTTCCTTTGGTAGTGCCTCCATCAGCACATCTGCAATTTGATCCTTTTTACTGACGTATTGAACGTCAATTTTCTCGGTAAGATCACGGATGAAGTTATAATAAGTGTTTTTTTTTAGAGTTTTAGAACTTTAAATCGCAATAAAACAACGATGGATTGTTAGATTGACATGAATTTTATTAATCTGAAAGATAATCTTGTGGCATTACATTATAAATATGATTTCTGGCATATGGTATGACCGCCTCGGCAGGCTCTGCACGTCCAGTTTGCGATTACTTTTTTTTGTGGCCATATATCGGCACGGCGTTTGTGGCTAATCCGCATAGACCAATAACTTGACATAAAAAACGTGGTGTGAAACGTTGGATGTTGGATGGACGTAGTGCGCGATACGCATTCCGTAAAGAACCATTATTTTCGAAATTGATTCATGATGAATTGACAAACCAAACTGAGAATAAACCACTTGACATATGTTAAATGCCAACTGAAAGTTCTAACCCATTATAATGTCGTCGACAAACAAAATAAAAACTTTTTTTTTTTTTTTTTGATTCCAAGCTCGGGGAGCTTTTTGCAGCCTATACAGCGCTTTTTCCTGCTTGCAGACTTATCCAGGCTTTTTTATAAATCCAGAGGCAATCTTTATGGATATTTTCTCATCCAGGTCACCGTTCAAAAACGCATTCTTCACATCAAGTTGCCTGGTGCACAAGCTGTCTTGATTAATAGCTGTTAGAAGAGCTTTCAGAGTTGTAAGACGAGCGTATGTTTTTTTGTCGTAATCAAAGCCTTGTCTCTGCCCAAAGCCCTTTACCACGATTCTAGGCTTGTGTCGCTCTATATTTTCATCGGCTTCTCGTTTGACTTTAGGTCGAGAGAGAGAGTTTATCTTCTCTTTGAATGCTCCTCCCCAATCTTTTTTGTCGTTACGAGTTCCGATTTCCTCGTAGCTTCCATGAACATCATCTATGAAGGATTTCGCATTTAAGGCCATCCTAACATAGATAATTTAAATAATTTTATATAAAATGTGATATATTAATAAAAATGAAAATGTTAACGCCAAATAAAATTAATAGTATCCCTTTGAAGTTAGATATTAAATATATACATTTATAGCCGAATTGGCAGGAGCCTTGTAAAGGCAAGGCACTGAAAGGACATAGTAAGGCAGAAGGTTTGAAATCGTATACCATGCCCTTAAACAACTGGTAATAAAGGCTTATAAATTGCATTTCTTTAATGGAATATTACTAATCTTGACCTCGAGTTTAGAATAGAAACAAAATTAGAAGAAAAATATATAATTTTGTTCTCTAAATATTACATTCTGGGGTATATGAGTGTCTTATTGCTATGGGTCTTAATTCGATCTCGCGCAAAATATACACCAATTTCCAGACTTTCTTTTCCTCTTTTTCTATTAACACTGTTCAAAAGGCTAGAGTATACATAATTCAGTTACTTAAAAATAAACATTGGACCGATGGCTTTGCCAAAAATGTGCTTTTGGTGTTTATTAATCTGCATTAACGTATGTATCTTCGTTATATGGGCCCGAATAATGTTCCATTAGGGATGGAAGAAGCGTATCTGCAGAGGGCTGTCTGAAAATAAAAGATTTCATTTAACCAACTACATTTTATTGTTTGCCGAGTTTTTATACTTGTCCATTGACAGGTGATATGAGCCAGGAGCTGAATTTGACCGACCTGCGCGGACAAACTTTTCTATCCGCAAACAATTTGATTTTCCGTTTGCTCCTTTCATAAACGGATTTCCAAAAGAATGTTTTTTTAACATGTTTTTTATCAATATTAGTGTGTCTAATTTTGGAATGCTGCGCACGACGGAGTTTATCTCATCATCGTCAACTTGTACCAAGCAACAATTTTCTTCTTCGGTCGGCAAGGGAAAGTCTCCATCAGAAGTAACCCAACTGTTTATCTTATAATATAAATATGTATTAATAAAAATACAAGACCAAGTTTTGGTTTTGGGTACCTTCAACAGTGGAACTGTTATTCTATCCTTGGCCTCTTTTTCTAACATGTGTACTATACAGCTTTTCAAGTTTTCAGTAACCAAGTAGTTTTCTGGGAATACTACGGAGTCTTTTTTAATTTTTTCATATAGTAAAGGCACGGAATCTGCCAGAAATGGAACGTTTCCAAAAACCAGAGAATAAAGAGTTGCGCCTAAAGCCCAGACATCTGCCGCCTTTCCACAATATTCGTTCTAAAATATTTAAATGTATTAAAAATTCTTTACAATGTTTTATTATCAACTTACCTCACCTACGACGAGTGTTTCCGGTGCTCTAAAGGCTGGGGTTCCAGCGGTCGATCCATTGCTTATCTTGGCATTCTCTCCAATAAATTCATTGCACACGCCAAGATCCGCTATTTTGACATGGCCACATTCAGTTAACAACAAATTTCCAGGCTTGATGTCGGCATGAATTATTTTTTGATGGTGTACTTTTTGTAGACATGGAAAAAACAAAAAAATAAATTACATTTATGATAAACTTTATTTAAACAGGAAAGAAAGCTCTAAAACGTAAGTCAATGACACGAAAAAAAGACTTCTGTGGTTATGGACTATTATTAGCCAATACAACGCCAGCAATTGGGAATTCTGTATAGTACTTCTATAGTTATCTAACATTTTCTGATAACATATGTAGGTAAATATATGATTTAGTAGTCAAATTTTTATAGAAATAATTTTAATATTTTATAATATATCCCAACAAAATGTTAGCTATAGAGCTAATTTGAATGAATATTAACAAGGCTGCATATTTTCTGTACATTAATTACACTGTGCGACAAAAAAATGTTTAAGTTGATTTTTTCTTATTTTTCACTTCTACTAATCAAAATAAGAATACAAGTTTGTGGATTTGTTGATATCAATAGCCAATCAGCTTTTACGCACACTCAAATGTCCCAAAAACGCGCGTTTGTGCATATTTCACAAACTTATAAACACATATTGGGAAAATATGTTTTCACCGTTATAAGCGTTCATGCAAGTTCAATATCTATTAATTAAAATGTATTAAGCAAATATACCGTAAGGCTTTTATCACAATGCTTTAAAATTTTTTTCTCCCAGCTCTATACTCTGGGCGACTACATATGGAACTTGTTATGCGAGGATACCTCTAAAAAAGACAAAAAATCAGGAAAAAATTTCACTTTTAAAAAAATAATAGTAAAAAAAATAATAATATTTTGTGTTAATTATTTTCATAATAATAATTTCATAAAATTTACCATGAAAAACGAAATTGTATCACTTAAAAGGTGGCATAGATATTTTTGTGCATAATTTATGCACCTTAACCGAAAACAATCAAAAAAATAACTTAAACAAAGATTTTGTTAAATTTTGTCGCACAGTGTTATAGCAGTGTCATCAGCAAAGGTGGATAGGATTGTTTGACCGCTTGTGAGAATATCAGCCGTGTATAGGACATACAAGATCGGTCCGAGCACACTTCCTTGGGGTACTCCAGCCTTGATTTTGTGGTTTTCAGAGAAGAAATTTTTGCATCTTACAGTAAAAACTTTATCTTTGAGGTAAGATTCAAGCAACTTGTGGGTATTTTGTGGCAAGACAGTCTTGATTTTTTAAACTAGAAATTCAATCCAGACGTGATCGAAGACTTGAGACACGTCCAGGAATATGGCACTGCAGTATTCCCTGTATTCAAAAGTTGTGCATATTTCAGCTGTTATGCGATTTACCTGTTCGATAGTTCCGTGCTTTTCCCTAAAGCCGAACTGATGCAGGGGAATCGCTCTGTTGTTTTGGAGGTGTTTTCTTAGGTGGCATGAAAGCAGCTTTTCAAATAGCTTAGATAAGCACGGAAGCAGGCTAATGGGCCTGTATGACGAAGTTTAAGATTTGTCTTTGCCTGGTTTCGGTATCATTGTAATAACGGACTTTTTCCATTGCAGAGGTAAATAGCCCCATTTGAGAATTGAGTTGAATATGGTGGTGATGCATTTAACTGGACATGCAGGCAGTTCAATTATCATTTTAGGCGAAATTAAATCATGGCCGGGGGCTTTTTTCGGATTCATCTGTTCTGCAATGGCTTTTGTGACTGTACTTGTTTCAAGAATGATTGTGGAGGTGCTGGTGGGATGTTTGGCAAAGTAAATTGATTCGCCGGCGGATGAGGTTGGAAGACGTTTTGTAAGTGAGAGGCGAAAATGTTGGCCTTTTCCTCGTCACTACGCGAATTGGAAAATCGGGCTAGTGGGTGAGAGCTTTGCTATATACGCACGTTGAGCCTGATTCTTCTCAGTTATCAAAGCTTTAGATAGCTTCCGACAGGCTTCTTTAAGCTTTGTTTAGTGGCTGGGGATCGGTGTGTCTGCCAGTTTCGGCGAAGTCTACGCTTTTCTTGAAGGAGCGTTTGGATCTGCATGTTTGTGCGCATAGTATTTGGGAGGGATGTAGCTAAAGGGTCAGTTGTAGAGTGTTTGGCAGCTGAGGACATTACATCCGCTATGTGCTTGATTGAATTTTTAATGTCAGCTTGACACGAGATATTGGGTTCGATTTCAATGTGAGAGCTGATATATTTTTTATAATTTAGCTAGTTTCTTGTATTGGAAGTCAGAAATTGTGGTCGCTTTACAAGTTGTGGGTGTTCAAATAGACAGAGTAGAACAGGGGAATGAGTGTTTCAAGGGAGTGTTTCAACGCGTATCAGCCTGGGCGGCACTCTCCTAGTTACGGCAAAATCGATAATGTCTGGTTGTTTATTCGGATCTGCTGGCCAGTATGTAGGTCTACCCGGTGAAACAAAATCTAGCTTATTACTAGGTTTGATAATAGCATTGTATAGTTGGCGTCCTTTGGGGTTAATAAGACGAGAGCTCCAGTAGTGGTGTTTTGCATTATAGTCACCGGCAGCTATAAAGCAGTTAGTTAGTGAGTTGTAGAAGCCCAAAAATTCATTCTCTGGAATATTGAATCGTGGGGGACAATACACAGCTGATAGTGTGAGTGGACCGCTGGTTATATTGATACGTAGGGATGTGGCGGAAAGAAACTGTATAGGATCCCGAAAAACTGGGACTTGTAACGGATTAAATAATTTTTTTAACACTGAGAGTTAAGCACTGTAAAGTTTGACCGAGCTCTTATGTATTTTCGAAAACAGACTGACAACCTGAAACCTTATATTTTTTATAAAGTCTGGACTTTAAATTCCTAAGGTGTGTCAACTCTTTGCTAAACCAAGGTTGTTTATTGGATGTTGACGGGTTATATTTCGGAACAAACGAGTTAAAAAAAATTATAATGGCGTCTTCCATATTGCCAGATATAAGTTGATTAAGTCTTAGAAAGTTAGCCCTTCGAATAGAATTAATTGACTTGGCTGTCTTTACAGCATTATTTTTATACCCTTGAAGAGCAAAAGGGTATTATAATTTCAGTCAGAAGTTTGCAACGCAGTGAAGGAGACACCTCAGACCCCATAAAGTATATGTCGGAGGGTCGTTTGTATTATTCATCACTTTAACTAAAATTCTCAGCAGCAAGTTCCGTTCGATTGCCAGGCGCTTTCTGAACTGACTCCTTAGAGTCTACTTTCCAAATTTATACTTTCTACTCAATTCTTATACATTGTTAGCTATCTCTTTCTAACATGTATGTCAGCGCTTAACGAACAGACCTCACTTGGCAGCAGTCTAAATCTGTCCTGCTCTGCCATGCTTTCACTCAATTTCTAACTTCCTTTTTTAATTGTCCCTGCTTCACATTAAAGAAGGCCCCGCTTCACCTGTCCTGACCAAGAGACCAAAGTAGGCCCCGTTTCATCTGATCCGACACGGCCTTCCTGACGATTCACACGTCCTCGTGTGTTACCTTAAAATCACAGTATTCTCGAATTTCAGTTTTCATTACATTTCTTTATCAACAAACATTTCATTACATCTTCTACACATAAGTTTTGAGGCATTTAGACAAAATAAACAAATTGATTTCTTAATAACATTTCACAAATTACATTTTCATTTTAATCATAATTTACAATTCAGACTTGACTAATTGCATAGCTTTATCAACTGGTGTATTTCCTTTTACACCCACATACTGACCCCCGCCATAACAAGTCCTTCTGTTATGGTGCGGTCATCACTAACCCCCGCCATAACAATTCCTTCTGTTATGGTGCGGTTATTCTATCCCCTCTAGGGATTCCAAGGCATCTACCGTGCCTTCCATATCATCATTCCCCACATGGGAATCAGACGCATCTGCACTTAAGTCGTCTAAATCTTTATCAACTTCATTATTTATTTGTCTATTTGGCAATGCCCTCAAAAACTCATGCGCATATTTATAAGTTATTTTGCTAGTTAAAGATTTTAAAGTGTACCGATCTCCATCTAATAGTTCAATTATTTCAAAAAGACCTTTAAACTTTGGGATTCCAAACAAACACACGACGACTCTAACAGCCTTGATAGTATTTTCAGTGTCAATTTTTAAGGTGTGATAAAAATAAACAAATTTCGAAAACGCATCTACCAAAACAATAACGTACTCCTTTAAGTTATTTTTTTTCCACTCATCTTTCCTGTTATGTCAATATGTAGGGTGTGCCACGGAATTTCTACCTTAGGAATCGAATGTAATTTAGCCTGCATTTTTCCAACTGGTGGCTTAGCTAATTTACAGGTGATGCAATTTTCGACAAACCTACGAACGTACTTCGACATGTTTTCGAACCAGTAAAAACCATAAACTTTATCCAACGTTTTCTCCCAACCTAGATGCATAATAGATTCGTGGACGTGATTAATCACTGCCCATCTAACACTACCGTTGACGGACAAAGCACAAAATAAAGTGAAAAACACAACAATCAATTTTTGAAGTGTTTGCTAAATTCACAAAAGTTCACCCGCGAAGTGAACGGTGTATGAAAATGACAAAATATTCAAAATCAAAAAAATCGGAGCGCGCAAAAAAACTCGAAAGTTCGCTTGAAAAAGAGTAAAGCAAATCTTCAAAATATGCGACCACCTCATTTGCTTTATGACTCACTTTGCGAAAAAGTAATCTTGCAGCCCTATGAGCACTGTATAGTTCTCACACCGTAATTTCTTTTTGTTGGGTTTCGTCTAAGATGTCAGTCACCATGCGGTTTGTGTAACGGAACGTGGTTGTCGGGAATGTTTCTATTTGAGGTGGATAAATGTCTGTACTGGCATTTCGCATAAAATGGTACTGATCGTTTCTTACTAAATAACTTTCGCTTTTTTTTTTATTACTATTTGATTCCAAAAGCCGTTGCCCGGCTTGTCCGTTTTTTGGAGTGAGTGATAATTCGCTATGTATAGTGGCATATCTGACTGTGCATCCTCTTTTAGCGCGTGATTATGCTGTCCGGACAGCGCGTTGATGGTCAGTAAAAATGTGAACATTTTTCATTTCGGAAAGG